CACTCCTACGGGCATCCGTCATCACCCACAGGAAACACAGACACCCCGAACTGAGCGGGCCCCTTAAGAGTGCAGTAGGCACTCCAGAACTGGAACCACCGACTGTTTGGCACTACTTAAGGGTGCTCAGTTTGGGAAAGCAAGAATACTTGGAAAAAGAGAAGGGAGGACAGACAACAACAGGAAAACAGACAAACATGTGTGTGTGTGTGTGTGTTATAAAATATCACCACAACTTCCCATATTCCACCCAGATGAGTAGATCCAAAGTCATGGCAACTTTTCCTGTATTGCAGATAATGAAGCATTCTCAAAAATACTTAGAAAAAGATCAGAGGGAGGACAGACAACAACAGGAAAACAGACAAACATAAAACTGAGTGTCTGTGTGTGTGTGTGTGTGTGTGTGTGTGTGTGTGTGTGTGTGTGTGTGTGTGTGTGTGTGTGTGTGTGTGTNTGTGTGTGTGTGTGTGTGTGTGTGTGTGTGTGTGTGTGTGTGTGTGTGTGTGTGTGTGTGTGTTATAAAATATCACCACAACTTCCCCTATTCCATCCAGATTAGTAAATCCAAAGTCATAGCAACTTTTCCTGTATTGCAGACAGTGAAGCATTTTCAAGATGAGCCAATCCACCCATGATACAGTTTTGCTTGTGAAGTCAATATCTATTTAGAACCTTACCTTTAAACAAGCAAGGAATCTCGCTTTTACACAAGCAATGCGACACACTTGAGATGGGCCAACCCAGCAATAAAAACAATACGAGACACAATAAATTCGTTATATCGTTTTCTTGATAATATTTTCATCAGCTAGCATTGGGAGGCCTCCCATTTTCTTTGTTTTTGTAGTTACCTTCTTACTGTGCCTATCACATACAAGGCTGGGCACGTTGATGATGGTTGTGCGCCAGCTGCCCACATCCCCGTGTGCCTTTACGACCCACTTGCACGTTGTGTGTGTGTGTGTGTGTGTGTGTGTGTGTGTGTGTGTGTGTTTGTATGCGTGTGTTGTTTTAAACCACCAGTCCCCCGGCCGCCGAACCCCCCCAGTCCCTGTGAGTTAGGGGCGGGTTTTTCGGCAGGTAGGCGTCCTTTGTAGGCGATCTCCCGAAGTCCTAGGCAATGCAACGTCGGGACCAGGCTGGGTAGGGTGGACGACGGCGGGTTGCACCAACGGCCGTCGAAACGGTCGGGCCGGTCCAGTGTTTGGCCACCTGCCAACCTCTATCAGAGTTTCGTGCATTTGAGGGAGCTGGGCCGAAAAAATAACCAAAAATTTGGCTGTCGCGTTTGTTTTTTTTTTTCCGTCATTACGGTTGTTATTGTATTATCGACATATATGATTGTGAAAACGCCCGCTCGCGTCGATTGTCCGGTCCGGTGGTCTAGGGTTTCGTTCGTGCGGTCACATTCCCTCGGTTCGGGATAGCGAGACCACAGTCGGCCATCGCCACGAACTCCACCAAACTGCGTGTTCTCTTCATCCCTCCGACGCTAACCCCACCCATCATACCCACCCCACGACCGCCCGCCTCCTACAGCGCCGGCGGCGGCTGCGTGCCGCCGTTGATTTGCTATTGGCCCATTGCATTGGTGCGGGAGCCCATACTGCCTTCGTGTGTGGTACCGCGTGGGTGTTTTGCCTTCGTGCGTGGTGTCGCGTGTTGTTGTAAGCGTACGTTGGCGCAGTCACACACTCGGCGTGGTCTTGTCTCCCCGTCCACTGCTCCTCGTGCGTGCACCACGGCTGGCGGTGACATTGCCGCAAGGCGGGAGACCCCTGCTCCGTTGTCGTTGGCCAGGGAGTGTGTGTGTGTGCCTGCGTGACAATTGTTGTGTGTTCGTGGGTGTCCTGCGTCATCCTTCGCGAGTCCGTTGTCCACATGCGCTCGCGCGTTTCGAGTTATGTCGCACCTTTGTGCTCCTTCACGTTGGCGCAGGTGTGTATGTGAAAGTATGAGCCTGTGCGTGTGCGTACGTGTGTTCGTGTTCGTGTGCATGTGTTTGTCATATACTGTGAGCGCAGTTTGGTGTTCAGTTTGGTATTTTCGTTTTTTGGTGCTTTTTTTTCTCCCCTTGTTTGCTTTATATTTTCCACCTTGTCACTTGAGAGAGAGAGAGAGAGAGAGAGAGAGAGAGAGAGAGAGAGAGAGAGAGAGA